GGGTTCGAGATGGTGGTCAGTGAGGCAAGTCAGCAGGAAGGCGAGAGAAAAGCCGTAGCAGTTTCAGTTTGTCATTCTGCATGCCTGTGTGTGTGTGTGTGTGTGTGTGTGTGTGGTGTGTGTGTGTGTGTTGTGTGTGTGTGTGCGGGTGTGTGTGTGTGTGTGTGGGTGGGGGGGGTGCGTGTGCGCGTGTGCGTGCACACGTCCGTGTGAATGTATGTTCGTTTGTTGTTTGTTCTCAATAACCCTCGGGGATTGGGTTCTCCTTCAGGTTTTCCAACCGCGTGCGCCACGATACGGGGTTGCGGTGCGGGAGTGCAAGCGCTACAGCCTTCGGCGTCCAACGGGTCTGCGGGGGTGCGACGTGGGGCGTGGATGAGGGGTTCCACCGGGCGGCTCGCGATACGGGGTGCGGCGCGTGGGGCCGATTCCCGTTCTGCTACTTGCTTACCCTGGCTCGGACTGACCAGGGTGCAATGCCGAGTGTCAACAGCTTTTGTTGGACTTTTCCGGGGCCACAAGGACTGTGAAGTTGTTCGGCTTTGAAGTTGGCCGGATCCAACAAGACTTGATACCACTTCCTCAGCGCCTTCCGCATAAACACGGGGCGCTTGCTTGATGAATTGACTGAAAATCCTGCTTTTGTCCAGGTTGGAGTCTAGGCCGTTTTGGCTTTTCAACAGGTTGGAGAATGCGTGTATTTCAGTCAAGCAGGCTCTCTCGTGTGGGCTTAAATGCAGCCTCGGTCTATCAAAATTGCCGAGGAGTTCGTTCAGGACAAGATGTCCAAGGTTCCAGCGGATCCTCTTGCCTTTGATCCAGCTACCTGGAATCAATAGTGCAGTTCTGCTCTTCACCACGCAATGAAAGACCAGAATCAGGCAAATCTGACGCCTGAACCGCCGCCCACGCCAAGCACCCCTGCGCCGAAACCACGTGCTGCAGAAGAAGCCGGCGGAATTCCGACCATGGTCCTGCGACTTGAGTAGGGGCTGGGACTCGAACTTGTGTTGCGGGCTCTCAGTACATGAGCAGAACCAAGGACCCACAGGTTACACTCCAGTTGCTCAACGACCAGGAGATTGCAGATGCCGCCAAAGATCCGGAGGGCATGGCCATCATTCAAGATGTCACGCGGTTGCAGCCTAGTTCATTCCTCGAATCTGTGGATTACAGGGGGCTCTCCCGGCTGAGGTCATCATGAATCCTTCCAATCTGGAGCTGCACAAGCAGAACCCAAGGGTTGCAAAACTGGTTGCCAAGTTGGAGTCGTGGCCGCATGCCGTGACATGCTCTTACCCATGCATGCAGTGCCCTCGGGTTCAAATTAAATATGACAAAGCTTCCTGACTGGCGAAGCTCGGCGAGCAGCAGCATCTGCACGTGACACAGGGAGGGAGGAAGGAAGACCCACGCTGTCAAACCGTACATGCTCCTAGCCCAACGGCCTCCTGCATCGCTGAGACCCCTTTCGTTGAAGTTGGGCTCTCTGTCCTCGTCGGTCAGGGAAGGCTCTCCTGGCACTGCGAGACGCGCTGCACCATCCCTTGTCGCCAAAACTTGAAGAATCGCAGCACTCAAGATCCGAATGCCTCGCCAGCCAGCAGCCGAGACTGGCAGTCAGCAGAAGAGCACGACAATGCACGACACATGAAGAGGCAGGTTTCGGACACATTATGGATTGTCAGTTATGCGAAACCAACAGGAATGGTAGGAGGCCACGTGCAACGTTGGGTTGCGGGGGCGACCGGTAGCTGGTGCAACTCCCTACAGGTTCGCAGATGGTGTCAGGAAATTGTGCTGGCAGACAAGTTTGGGGCTTTCACGCAGATAGATGACAACAAGGTGGGGTTCGTGTGGATGATGTTATCGAGCTGTTTACAGGCTTGGGTTGTGACGCGCCCTCGCGCCACGGCAGGAACAAACACGGACAGGTGTGGGACGGAAATGCCCTGCGCGGTGCACGGCACAGCACGGTGGTTTCCGATTTTTCTCTCGACCTGTGAAGCCGTCCGAAAATATCAACTGTAGCACATGCTGACCAGATGTCAAATCGACTTCCCACTTCGCCCTTCATCTTGCATCCTGTCATGAAAGTTTCTCAAGTGAGGAGAAGATCTTGGCGGGAGGCCCTGCCGCTTGAACAATTCCGGCAAAAGCGAGTGCGGATGCTTCTGTTTCAGGTGGGTCTTGTGCCAGTGAGCCTTCTAGCGCCATCCTCCTGTGCACACAACTCCCACTCCCGATCAGACCACAAACCGCAGTTTTACACGGTAGAACGGACTTTTCAATAACTGCTCGACATTTGCAGTGCAACATGTCATCGAAGAGGTAAACAGCAAGCGATAGAAGTACACATGCCGAGCCCGAAAACTCTTAGAGTTCCGGAATCGCGTTCAGCTTGCACAAAGCCATTGCGCAGAGCCCTTGACTGGCAAGATGCGATTGAGGGTCAGGCCACATGCTTCACAGACCATGCCTGTCGTGAGTTCACCAGGCCACTGCTTGTCCCAACAACCACATCGTAAGAGTCATGCAAATTCGGCCAGCGGTTGAGCATGAACATTGTTCGCATGAACTCGATCCCGCCCTTCGGCCCACAATGCATCCGGGCACACCGCTGTGATGCCTTCAGCGATTCAGAGCATGGATTTGGGCAACTCGTAGAATGTCAGCAAACCTGTCTCACGAAGAGATACTTGATAACCCATGCACCAAAGCCATGTATACATGTTTACACACGACGAGATTCGGTACAGCTGACCGAACTGACGTGCATATTCTTCGGAGGATCTTTAGAGCTAATGTCGCCACTGGCCAAGCCATGTCGGACCGACAACGCAACTACCCCCGTGGTTCGTCGGGAGGAGTAGTGGCCCAAGCTGTCCAGGAGAAACACCACAGGTTTCAGCTCCGGGGTGGGCGCACATGTCAAGACATAGATCGTTGCTCTCCGGATGTTGATGAAGGTCCTTCGTCCCGGAGCCCACGTCATCATCCATGGAATCCGAGTGGCTTGTCTTAGAAGCTTGTTTATTCGTAAAGTGCTACCTCAAGTGGAAGGGACATTCTGCAGGGCACAGAACATTCATGGTGGGTTTTGATTTTGCCGACATGAGTCCTAGCTCAAGTTTGAGACGGAGAGAAGCTGCATGATGCGGCAGGAGGGTTCGTCTCCAAAAGTTGACGGGCTACAATCTTCTCGTAGCTGCCGTAGCTATGCATAGGGACCCTTCCTTGTTGCCGTGGTTATTAATGCAGCAGCCACCCTTTACACGTGGCTGTTCTTCGGGTATCTTATTGAAGTGATGTTCCCGAAAATTGGATTCGGCTGTTGCCTGCCGTGATGCTGGAGGCATTCACACACCTAGTACACTCTCTGCATTTACGAAAGACCCTGCATAGCTGCCGGGCCTAAAGCCTTCCTAAAGGCCAGGTCAGCTAGATTCCCCCAGAAAGGAGCGAGGTCGACAGGCAACTGATTCGAAGCAGAGTTGATCATGCCGCGCGCCTGAAGCCCTTTCAGCTTCCCCAGCAGTTGTTGTCTGTATTTTCCACAGACTGCCCAGTCCGTCCGCGAGCTGAATGGTCAAGAAGGCACATGCTTGGCTTGGTTGCCCGAGAGCCCTGTCTTCTATCGATCTGGTAAGTGGGTAGGCAAAGGTTGTTATAGTTTGCTTCATAAACTTGTGAAAAGTTTATCTACAATCAAAGAAATAAATAAATAAATAAATATATATATATAGATATATATATATATTATATTATATATTATATTATATATTATATATATATTATATATATATATACATAAGTCCGATACCTCAAGGGTCTATTTGACCAGCTTTTGATATATACAATGTCAAAGGCCCAGCCAAATAGTACATGGCGAAGTGGTACATTGCACAAATCGAAATCCAAAAAGTTTTGGACCGACAGTGATATATTGTATAATATCGAATTTTCACATCTTTCAGAAGCTTGGCCTGGTGAACGACATCCATACTTGAGGTGTCAAGTATCTTGTACGATGTTCGGTGCCTTTCATGTAACCGGAAATGGATGGTTAGCATTGATCGAATCACAAGCAAGCGGGCGGGTACAGTATGTTATCTAATGGTTTGATGATGACCATTATGGTCATAGATAGTATTCTTGGATGTTGCTGTTGATGTTGTGTTCGTATGTGAAGTAGTACTTTCCTTAAGTGTTTGTTGATTGTTGTCTTGTGCCGCTTGTTGCATGTGTTGTTTACAACATTTGTAACTAAAGCTGTACATCTTCTATGTTTCTTTGTCTGTTGGTCGTTGTCGTTCCTTTGGTGCGACTACACTGAGCACACTTCCAGCCAATCATCCAACTGTAACATCAACTCCAAACCCCTCCAGCCCGTTTACAAGCACTGTGACCAACAACAGTAGCAACAACATCAACAATAGCAGGAACAACAACAACGCGCAATCAGTGCAACTAGCAGCAATCATTCTCTCAGTGTTGGTGATAATACTGAGCAAAATCATACGAGCAATATATACTGAGCAAAATCATACGAGCAATATGAACAACCGTATACTTGAGCAAGCAGTGACCGTCAGTATCACAACAACCACTATATGGGCATGAATGCTGACCATAATGTATCACTAGTCAGTAATAGTTATACTACGTCCAGTTGTTTTCCTTGGCGCTTGTGCGTTTCCAGCCGTTTCAGCCCCAACAGCAACTCTAAACCCCAGGCCCCTTTGTAAGCCCGGCTGTCACCAACACCAACGACAACAACAACAACAAGAACAACAACAGCAACAACCGCAGAAACAAATGATGAATGTGGTAAAGACGAGTACGAGAGGAGAAGATTCGAAGATTGACAGGCTAGTTTTGTTTGGGGGAGGACGGGGAGGCATATCATAGAGATCAAAGGAAGGGGAGGGAGTATGATAATCTTCAATCGCAAGCAGTGATCCCCTCCTCTCTTTTTGGTGTTCATGCTCTTGAAGCCGTCAATCGCAAGCGTACGCTCTTATCTGTTCTTGTAGTCTATGTTTTTAATGTCAGTCGGACTTTACTTTTCAGCAACATCAACACCAACATCAACATGTTTTCATTCACATGCAGCGGGAGGATGCTCGCGACTTGGTGAAACTCTTCCTCGCTTTGCGGGTGTCTGACCTCCGACTGGCTCGAGACGGTCCTTCTCTCTGCTCGTTGGATGCAGCTTCCTTCCACAGAGTGAGCATAGATCTTACTTGGGGAGTAGCTCCACTCATAGTCGAACGCACACGTTCTCGCTCGTTCTGGAGAGCAACTCTTCCAGACACAGCCCACTGCAGGCCGCGCCGCAGCCCTGCACCTGCATGCGTCCCGTCCCGCAGAACAGCAGACTACGGGCCGTTGGATTTCTATGTTAGTGGGGGACCTATATGATACTGCAGTAATGGAGAGCGTTCCTTGCTGCAGGGCTTCTCTCTCATCACTCCATGTCGGTATGCATGTGTCACAGCGCGGGGGGTGCCTCAAAGTTGCACCTGCGCTTCCCCCGTTCTGCAACGCGGCGAGAAAGCCAGTGTGCCTGCTAGGGCGGATACAAGACTGTCATCATGATGGGGGCGCTTAGTGCGGGGGAGACGAGAGGTGTCCAGTTATTTTGTCAGAAGAGATTGGGGCGCTGCGGCTAGCACTCATTTTGCCCTGGCTGCGGCTGCATCGGAAGATTGGCTTTGTCCTGAATCCTTTCATGCACGGTATGCAGGATCTGTGCTAACGACCAACTCCACATTAAACTCCAACCTATTGTTGGGAAGTGAAACACGTAGCAGCTGATCCCGGTGGCATATTTGTGGGCGTCGTGCCCGCTCCAGTTGTAGCAGTGGTGTCTCCCAAGGCACTGGTCGTGACCGCTGTCGCTCCCATGGTCATAGTCCCTGGAAACTTCCTGTGCCAGCCAGAGTTGCGAGAGCGCTCTGGCATGACCCAGACAGAGAGGCCTGGGCCGGAGATGAACCTTCAATTAAGGGCTGGGAGAAAGCTGCGGTGGTAATCCGGAAACTGTCACTGCAGAGTCGCATGAAGACAGGAGTGCCACTTCCGTGTTGAACGGGATCTGATCACGTGGGCTAAAGAAAGGCCCGCCTCCTTGCGTCTTGATGACGTTGAGTCTCACGAGAACCTGCAAGTAAGTAGACACGGCTTTGGCGCAACACTCTCTCACCTGAGGGTGCTTGTTAGACGCGAGGGGTGAAATGGGATCAGCAGCTCCCTGGAGGATGATTGCCACAGGTTCTGGGGTGTAGCCAGAACCTGAGGAGATACTTCCAGGGCAAAATATAGCCGAGGAGAACTCCTCTGAGAGG